GACGCGCTAGCCATTATTATATGAGTAAGAAATGCTGGCCTTTTCCTTAAAAATTAATCAATGCCTTTTTATATGTATTTTTTTCAAAAAAATAAAAATAAATTATATTTAAACAATAACAATAAAGATCATAGAGTATTTACCGAGGTAGAAGAGAAATGAAAAAAAAAAAGGTCACTAATAATACATCGATCATATTTGAAGTACACTTGTTGTCTACAATGGAAAAGGAGATAAAGAGGAATTAACTAAGATGACAAAACACATTGTTAATAGTTAGAAATCTCTGCACATATCGCTTAAAGTATGCAACAAAGACGCGCCAATAACTTTTTATTGAAAACAATATTATTTTCAAGAGGAGTTATGTTGCTACTCTAAATCAAATTTATAATTAACAACAAAACCTAGGCTAAAACACCCAAATGCCCCTTGTCATAATGAACTAAATGTCTTACATTCAAATGTACATTTATAATTCTATAATGTATAAAAAATAAAAATACATAAATACTCCTGCTCGAGACCACCAGGTCTTTTACTATCAGGGCTATTTTGTTTATTTTGCTATTCACAAAACATTGCATGGATAAAGATACCCCAAACAAATCAGCAATAATTAATGCACCTTATAAAGATACCCTAATAACCCTGGGCCAAAATCATGCAATTTTTTATGCAAGGAGAAAAGAATTATTATATTATAGTGGTAAATAAAAAAAATGTAAGAAACGCTAAGTTTTTTTTTTGTTTTAATTATTTATTTATTTTTTATTAACGTATAATGAACATTCACCAACTTTTTTATCAATAATAATGTTAAGCATTACAATTAATGATGATACTAATATTTTTATTGATCAATTATAACATCATTTTTTATATTTGAGGTGAGTGAACGGTTCATAATATCATCTATTAAATAATAATAGAAAAAATTTATTAGAATATAAATTTATTATACCTAATATTTCTCTGTATTTATTCTTGATTATATATTACATTGCAAGACTTTTTCTTTTGTTACGATAATCAAATTTCTTTATATTATCTTTCTCCTATCATCATTCATCCATGCATAAAAGAATGTTCGTTTCATGAGATTTTTTTTTTTTTAAATACTCAAATCCAAATACAAAACTTAAAATTTAACTTATAAGTCTTGACCCGTAAATTATTAAAAATACAATTTTTATATAAAGTTTTCTCTCCGCTTCTATCACTTACCAAAACTCATTATAAATTCTTATTGAAAAAAAATACTAATATCAAGTTTCTAAAATTTGTCATGGAGTATTGAAGAAATACAAATGGCATGCATTTATTTGAAAAAACTTAAAAACTCTAACTTAATGCTCTTATAAAAGTTTGATTGAACTCATATCCATTTAAAAAATATTATATTAATTTGATAATTGAAAACTCTAAAATATCAGGCCACCTTTGGTATCATTTTTAATTTTTTTTAAGAAAAGAAAATTTGAAAATAAAAACAGAAAATTTTTTATTTTAAAAAACATAAAAATCCAACGATCGAGTGTCGAAATTTTTCAAGATCAAATCAAATGATTTGAAAAAAGTTTGTTAAAAGCTTTTCAACGCTAGAAGGAGGGCTTGAACCTCCGACCTTGTGGTTAACAGCCACACGCTCTAGCCAACTGAGCTATTCCAGCTGTTGTTTTCTTAGGTCTGTTACATATATTATTAATCTAAATTCCCATCCATTTAACATAAGCTGAGGCTACACACGGAAGACACACTCGCAGCGATCAAAGAATGTGGAGAAGAGTGTTCCCTTTGCTTCGACGCCGATCCTTCAGCACCACACCCGAAACCCCAACTTTATACTCTTTCTTGCAACCCACCATCTTTTCCCTTAAAAAGACTCCACCGTCAATCACAAACCCCGCCACCACCACCAACAGACAAACCCCGAAAATCTTAACGCAAGATCACATAACCAATCTAGAATCCACCCTTCACAGGTCCCTCATCACTAACAACACTAATGAGGCATGGGCGTCTTTCAAGTCATTAACCTCAAACTCAGCTTTCCCGTCCAAGTCTCTCACTAACTCACTCATCACACACCTTTCCTCTCTCAATGACACCATCAATCTCAAAAGGGCATTTGTTTCTATTGTTTATGCTATTGAGAAGAACCCAAAAAGTTTAGATTTTGAAACGGTACAACTGTTTCTTGGTTCAATGGTACGTGCCAATACTGCTGCTCCTGCTTTTGCTTTAATCAAATGTATGTTTAAGAACAGGTTTTTTATGCCTTTTCGACTGTGGGGTGATTTTCTCATTGAAATTAGTAGAAAAAATGATAAAGTTATTGCCTTTTTGAAAGTTTTTGAAGAAAGTTGTAGAATTGCTATTGATGAGAAATTGGATTCTATGAAACCTGATATGGATGCTTGTAATGTGGCTCTAGAAGGGTGTTGTTGCGAACTTGAGTCTGTTAGTGAAGCTGAAAAAGTTATTGAAACTATGTCCGTGCTGGGTATTAAGCCTGATGAATTGAGTTTTGGGTTTCTTGCTTATTTGTATGCACTGAAGGGGTTGCAAGATAGGATAATCGAGTTAAACGGTTTAATGAGTGGCTTTGGTTTTTCGAATAAAAGGTTATTTTTTAGTTATTTGATTAGAGGGTATGTAAAGTCAGGGAGTTTTGAGGCTGTTTCGGAAACTATTCTCCGTAGTTTGAGGGAACAGGGTGGACTAGATTTGAATTTTAGCGAGGAAACTTATTGTCAGGTGGTTAAAGGATTTATGAAAGATGGAGGTATCAAGGGTTTAGCAAACTTGATCATTGAAGCTCAGAAGTTGGAGTCAGCAACTATTGCTGCGGATAAATCAACTGGGTTTGGTATTATTAGTGCCTGTGTTAATCTTAGATTATCAGATAAGGCGCACAGTATTGTTGATGAAATGGATGCTCAAGGTGGTTATGTGGGACTTGGGGTCTTTCTGCCAATCTTGAAGGCATATTGCAAAGAGTATAGAACAGCTGAAGCTACACAGCTGGTCATGGATATTAGCAACAAAGGGCTTCAATTAGATGAGGGGAGCTATGATGCACTAATTGAAGCATCAATGACAAGCCAAGATTTCCAGTCAGCTTTTACTTTGTTTAGGGACATGAGAGAGGGAATAGCTGAATTGAAAGGAAGTTATTTGACAATTATGACAGGTTTAATGGAAAAACAGCGTCCTGAACTAATGGCTGCTTTTTTAGATGAAGTCATTGAGGACCCTCGAGTTGAAGTGAAAACTCATGACTGGAATTCAATTATTCATGCTTTTTGTAAAGCTGGGCGGTTAGAGGATGCAAAGAGGACTTTCAGAAGAATGACTTTCCTACAGTTTGAACCAAATGACCAAACATATTTGTCCCTAATTAATGGGTATGTGACTGCAGAGAAATATTTCGGTGTTTTGATGCTCTGGAATGAGGTTAAGCGAAAGGTCTCACTGGATAAAGAGAAGGGTATTAAATTTGATCAAAGTTTGGTTGATGCATTCCTATATGCTATGGTGAAAGGAGGTTTCTTTGATGCAGTGATGCAAGTCGTAGAAAAATCTCAGGAGATGAAGATTTTTGTGGATAAATGGAGGTACAAGCAAGCGTTCATGGAGAATCATAAGAAGCTGAAAGTATCAAAGTTGAGAAAGAGGAACTTCCGAAAAATGGAAGCACTTATTGCTTTTAAGAATTGGGTGGGTCTAAATGCATGAGTTTCAAGGATGTCCCATGGTAGTTATCTGCTTGAGCTTTTTCTCACAGGTTTTACCACAATGTTTAGAGTTCAAATTTGAAGTGCCTACTTTCAATCTTCAAGCTCTTTCCAATGAACATAAGAGTCACTCAGTACTTTATTCCCTTGGCATATGATTTTTGGCATAGTAGAGGCTGTATAAACATTTAAACTGGAAGGGATGCATGACCTTTGGGGAACAAGAGTAGTTCTGAAATTGGGCTGGTTTGAATGCATGAATGTTGCCAAGATCTGTGACTGTGGGCTATAGGAATGCTTCTAAAAACCAGGCTGGTTCAAATGCGTGGTGAATGCAGAAGCAACTTGCTGAAAAATCTGCTCATACTCCAAGGATTGCTGTTTGCTTAAATTCCATCAAAATCAAATGAAAGTGATTTGAAGGATCTTTAGGGAAATGAAATTTGTATTCTTTTATTCGGATGATGTGAATGGACTAGCTTCCAGATAATTCTGAGTTCCCTTTGGCTTCTAGTCATGATACAGGATTCTGTAAAGGAGTGTCTCCTGTGGCGAGACTAGTGCAGTGCTTATTTTAATCAAGTGCATCATAACTTCCTCATTGTGTCTTGCTTGAGAGGGCATTTTACTTGGTCATATCATCAGACTGGATCTAGATTCACTATTGATGGATGAATCAGCTGAAGCAATCACTTGTAGGGAGTTCTTTTTTCCTTGTCCATTCCAGAGTTCTGTTGAGCTATTTAATAAATTTCGATAGCTAAGAAAGCAAGGTAAACCTTGTCAGCTTTTTAGGATGACATTTCGTTTTAGTGGCTTTAAACCTTTCTCTGTGTTTTAGTATGTATCATTTTGTATCGAAATAGATATTCGAATTCTTGATATCCAGTGTGAAACTCTAGTTATTCTTGTAAATTGGAAATCCTATCGCTGTTTGAATGGGCTGTAAAATGTCGCTTTTCTTTAAAAAAACTTGTTACACTTCCACTTGTACTACTTGATAGTTACTGGTAATTCTGTTCACATTAGCAAGCTTGTTTCTCTTCTTTACTGTTTGATGGGTCTTCTACTAGGATGTACGTTGCTTTACAGCTAGAACCCACATGTGTCAGGTTTGCTTATTAGGAAGCAAAAGAACGAAATTGATCAGCTCCACCGAAAAGAACAACCAGCCCTCCTTCCAAACATAACTTCAATATTGTCTAGTGAAGTTTCCTCCGTGTTTTAAACTTATTGATTATTAATTCTCCCAAACTCTAACCAATACCATCAATCTCAAATGCTTGGATCGTCACCTACATTCTTCTTTCCCTCCCCATCTATTTCACCATCTCTGCTGCTGTGAATCCTATCCCAATAAATGGCACATGTCATGACACTTGTGGCACGATATCAGTGAAGTACCCCTTCGGCTCCGGATTTGGATGTGGGCACCCCGACTTTGCTAGATATGTAAGATGCAACGCCGGCACACTAGAGTTCTCTACCGGGACCGGCATTTACAATGTCTCAGATATCGATTACTCAAGTAGCACCTTAATTATCAGAGATCCCTTCATGTCTGCTTGTAGTTCAATGCAGAACTCAGGAAGCTTTAGCCTGGATCGAGCTAGTCCCTTCACTTTAACAGGGGAAAATATATTTGTTTTGCTTGGATGCTCTACCAATTCTCCTTTGTTTGATCCAGCTGAAGATTTGTGTGCTATGGGGTCGCGCTCCCGTGTATGTAGAGGACTATATTCTTGCAAGGGAGTGACAGGCATAGGGTTGCTACAGAATGCGCCACCTTCAACTTGTTGTGTTTACGAGTCACCTATTCAACTAGCAGGCTATACGTTGGATCTTCCAAAGCTCCAATGCTCTTCTTATACGTCAGTATACAGTTTTGGGGGAAGTGAGGGGGATCCAATGAAATGGAAATTTGGTATTTCTCTTCAATATAATGATTCATACTATTCTAATGTATGCAAGGATTGCGAAACCAGTGGGGGCTTGTGTGGGTTTACAGGTTTTGATCAGTCATTTGCTTGCGTTTATGAGAATGGGAAGAACACCTCAACCAGTTGTTTTGGCCAAGGTTAGTTCAAAGTTTACACTGTTCCCCTTTTCTGTTCAACCATGAAGTCTCATCCAGTAGGATAGGTGAGCTGTTCTTCATGTTCTCTTTCTGTACGAATCCGTGTGCTGATGCGTGCCTTTGATTGATTAGGCTATGAGTGGAGCGGGACACGGGAGTCAAAAAATCTAAACATGCTCAGCTTTGGAGGTATAGTGCCTTTTGTCAAGCCTTACTTTTAATTCCAATCAGCTTGAGCACAGAAAGTCTTCTCATGCTTTTGATTTTTTTGCTACTGTTTGCTTTACAAAATACCTTTTCCTGTTCCCGCAATTTATTCCGTTCAGTTTGTGCACAAGAAGTCTTCTCATGCTTTGGATTTTTTTGCTACCGTTTGCTTTACAAAATACCTTTTCCTGTTCCCGAAATTATATCTTGGAGATAAATCATGGCACCTAGCTAGTGAACGCAGATTGGCCAGGGAAAGGGGGGAAAAGGAACAAATAAAGGAAGAAGAGGTCATCAAACTCGTCTATCCGTTATTTATTTGTTGAATATACGCCTGGCATCTCGAATTGTTGCCTGCACAGATTTTCTTTTTTCTTCTTTTATTTTTGCTTTCTAAATGTGCTGTCAGCAGATTTAAAAGATGGCAGATCAAACACTGGTTCTAGCTTTTAGGGATGGTGAGATACAATTTCACAGGCCTAATTATGTGATTATTAAAAATTAAGCAACTGAGTCTATTCATGTCTTCAACCGATCACTGCTTATTGAAAGTAAAAAAAAAATAATAATAAGAGAGAAGAGAGCCATGCATAGGGTTTAAGCTGCAAAATGCTCTGATCTTTTCAAGCTTGTGGGACACTCGCCCCCAAACAATAAACGGGATGCTCATACTAGTTTACTTCTTTTCTGGTTGCTATTCTCGTTTCTTTACATATATGCCACTTACATGTGCCCATTACTTTCTCGTTTTTAATCTTCTATTGCTATCCAGGACTCTTGCTCTTGTGGCTGCTGATTTCTTTTTGAAGATTGAAAATGAAGATCTCCGAGAGCTGGCCTAGAGCTCTTAGGTCAAATGCAGCAATTCACTCTCTAATTGACAGAAAATCTTCTTGAAAATGTCCAGATTCTGCATTCTCCTAGCTTACTGCAATTCATGATTTTATGTTCCATTTTGTTAAAGGTTTAAAATGGATAATATGTCCTGGTTGACACGTAAAATATCAAATAAACACCATGATAATATGCATTCCCTGTCCTATGTATTTTCGTCAAGAAGGTTTCAATGTGAAAGAAAGAAGCAAGATTTGGAATCATTTGTCGAGGTTTTTATTTTATTTATTATTATTAGAAGTGTTAAAATTCTCTGTTGATCTTATTCATAAATTTCGCAATTGAAAATGATCTCTTGAAACTCTATTTGTTTTTTATGTTTTTATAAAACATCAATTACTAAGGATTCCAGTTCATTACTTGACTTGTGGTCTGCGCGGCAGTGCTCGTAAGTTTCAGATTGCAGAATTAAGCCAAGATATCAGTACTGCTAATCAGATTTTATTTTTCAATGAATAATTGGACTAAATCAGTTTTTACGTGTCTTACTAGTCTGTATGCTGGCTTCTATTCCGGGCCACCAAATTTTTTTTAAATATATATATAAAAAAATAGGTTTTAGAATTTTTTTGGTATTTTATTAAATTTAATAATTTTTTTATTAACATATTTTTTAGATATTATTATTAAACCTGATAATTTTTTAGGTTAATTGCTCGAAATCATAAATATAAAATATCATTCTATCATAAAAATCACATATATACCAGTTTAACACTGAGACAGAATTATGGTCTTAGAATAATATACTGCTCATACTTGGCTTCTAAGCAATGATTCCCCACCCCCATAAAAAAAAAAAAAAAACGAAAAGAAAAACTTCATGTAACTTCAAAGCATAACTTTTGATTTTATCCCATTCTAATAACAGAATAAATAACGGAATAAAAGGCACTACCAGCTAACTTTTTTTTATATATATAAAATAAAGAGAAAAAAGGCGCGCCTAATTCTCACTTTAGCGTGGCCCTTATTTTGGGGGCGGGGGGGCGGTGGTGTCCACGCCCCGTCTCATGCACCTGGCGATATAGTTCTCCGGCCAGGCAGCCCCGACACGGTTGTGGTTCTGCCCACCATTATCGGAAAGTTACTGGAATCTCCAAAAGAAGATTTCAAGCCTGTTCATATTTACCCTACAACTGCTATAATTTGCCATCTCAATTCCCACCCCTCCACATTCTCCTCCTACTTGCTTACTCCATTCATATTCAATCAAAGCTGCGACCCTTTTATTCTTTCTTTTATGTTTTACTATACGTTAACTAGCAAATTGGTCTTGTTTTACAGGTTAGTGATTTGTTTACTTCATTTCTTTTGCTTGATTATAGTTCAGTCCTAACGTTACTTTATATATTCACAGTACTGCTGGGTTAGTCTTTCTGTCATTGTTTAAAAAATAACCTCATCTCATGAGTTGTTTTACAGGATAGCTTATCATTTTTTATGGATTGATTTTTTTTTCTTTGAACTGGCAGATATTGGGTTCCGATGATGAGAGGATTAGGACTTGTATTCTTTGCATTTTTCTTGGTTCTCCCAACTCTTCTACGAGTGACAACTTCACATGGAGAGCAGCCTCTTTCAAGAATTGTTGTTCAAAGCACAGAACTTCATCTTAGTGAAAATGCTTATGTTAAAGTATCTCCTTCAATTCTTGGACTCAAGGTAGGCTTTTGCAGCACCGGTTCTTTTATTCAGCTTCCATATATGAACGAAGCTTCTTATTTTTATTGCAAGTTGGGTCCTTGTTATGTGTATATTTTGGTGACTGATATGGATTTGGGTTTTGAATTGAGTGATGCGATGACCGAGGTCTAACACTATGGAGAAAACAATTTGTTATGCGATTGAAAATTTCTTTCACTGTTGTAGGGGCAAAATTTTGAGTGGGTGACATTGGAGTATGCTTCTCCAAACCCATCAATTGATGACTGGATAGGAATGTTTTCTCCTGCTGATTTCAGGTTACGGATTTTTTGCATTTTGAAACTGGCCCGGCTTCTTGATTTTTGCTATTTTCAAAATCTGGGACTGGTGAGTGTTTGAATAAATTCAACACATCATGTACCGATTTGACAGTGCTTACTTTTTATCAATTTCCAGTGCCTCCACCTGCACCCCTGATGATGGCTCGAAGTTAGCTCCTTCATTTTTGTGTACCGCACCTATTAAGGTTCATCCTGGCCTCCCTGCCGCGAGATTTTTGCTCTTTAATGTATCTCTTTCTTGAAGTGATAAGGGATACCAATACACTTGATTAATCTTGCGGTATCAGTATGCAAACTACAGTAGTCCAGGATACAGAAAAACAGGAAAGGGGTCGTTGAGGCTTCAGTTAATTAACCAGAGATCAGGTTTCTCTTTTGTGCTTTTTTTTGGAGGTTTATCAAATGCATGCTTCTGACTTTCTATGCTCTCTTTACTTGTAAGGTGATAAATAAATAATTCCACATTAAGTAATTGGCACCAATGATTGATTTTCCAACTAATGTTCTTTTCATATTTCAATTCTGTTGTGTAAAACTTCCTTCCTAATTCACTTCTGCGGAGCTCATGCAAGGAAGAACAGTATAATAATCGCTTTCCATCATTGTATCACAAGCTTAACTAATGTTACTTTGTGTGTGTGTGGGAGATTGTTGGTATGTTAGTCTCTCACTGCTGCATGTAGGAGTTTGATTCTTACACATTTCCTTCTATTTTGAAGTATCAGCTGGAAGGCCTTAAGGATGCAAGCATTTATTTGGAAAATATTTTGGTTGAATATGTGCACTTTTTTTCTCACTGTTTCGCTGTTATCCATAATCTCAAATTTATTTGATGAGTATAGTTTTTTGGTTGCATTCCACCATGGTTAATCATGCTGCAAATTTGATCTAATTATCTGTTCTTTCATATAGCCCAAGCTGATGGCAGTATCAAATAAAGTTGCTTTTACCAATCCAAATGCACCAGTTTACCCACGCTTAGCACAAGGAAAGATATGGAATGAAGTAAGCCTAATTTTCCTTTCGTTTCTATCCAAAAGTTCACATGTGATACAGAGGAGAATCTGAAGTTCTTCGTTGCATGTATAAAAACTTGAAACAGCACAGGGCTTTTATTATCACATTTTTTGATGAATTATTCATGAATGTTGCAAGCTTTTAGAAATCAAGGATCTTTTCATTGTCGCCTCAGTTTATACAATATATTTTATATTGTAGTCAAGCTAACTCTTCTTCGACATTTTAACTTTGTTCTGAACTTCAAACTCAGATGACTGTAACATGGACAAGTAGATATGGGATAAATGAGGCAGAACCCTTTGTTGAATGGGGTCGAAAAGATGGTGATCGTATGCATTCCCTGGCTGGGACACTGACTTTTGATCGTAACAGCTTGTGTGGTGGGTGGCTCTTTTACATTGTGAACTTAGATCTGGCTAAAAGTGAACTTAGAATGAAAGCCCTTTGTCTATCTTGGTTACGATTATCTATGCAAAGAAGTGTACATCAGCTAGAATTGGCATGTCAGAGATGCTATGCTGTCTCTTTTTTTACTGGAAAATAGAAAAAACCACTCCAACAGATTTAGCTGCATTATGTTGAGTTGGTTAGCATATTGGTAAAAATTTATCAATTTAGTTTAATCCTAATTATCTGAGCTTGCACCTTTAACTTGGTTGTTCTCTAGATCTTTTAATGTTTACCATATGGTTGGCTTTCTTAAAAACGTTTTGATTGCTTCTTTTCCATGGATAGATGATTCACCTTGTCAGATGTATATGGGCAGGTGCACCAGCAAGGACGGTTGGGTGGCGTGATCCTGGATTTATACACACAAGTTTTCTGAAGGAGTTATGGCCCCATGCTGTGTATGTCATACCTTATTGCAAATTACAATGTTCTGTGGACCAATGTTGATTTCTGGTGTGCTAACTTCTCTTGAAATAATAAATGGCCAAGCTCTGTTGATAGGAATGGATTAACGTCATTTATTATGCATGCACGAGCTGCATTAGTTATATACAAATATTTTTGGTTTTTAGAATTGTTTGATGAAGTGATGGTTTCCAATAGAGCACTTAGAGGATAGTAAAGAAAGCTACCTCACATCTAATATTATGAGCATTTCAAAACTAATCATCTGAACAAGATTAGCACTGTGTTAAAGATCTACTGCCTTATTGATTATGCAGGTATACATACAAGCTTGGGCATAAATTATTCAATGGTACATACGTTTGGAGTCAAGAGTACCAGTTTAGAGCATCTCCATATCCTGGTCAAAGTTCTGTACAATGTGTTGTTATTTTTGGAGACATGGGAAAGGTTGAAATTTTCTCCCAAATATTATGCATATCTAAATATAGAATCGCATCCTTAACAGATATTCTCATCAGGAACATTAATAACTTGCAAGATATGCACACTGATGTTGCAATTTTTAAATAACATTTCTGGATTTGGTGCCCCAACACACATAACTTTCTTTTTTTAATTTTCCAATTTATATTTTTCTCACTCCTTTAAGAAAATATGCATCATTATCGTGTCTAAATGACATAGATTACTGATATCTTTCTTCAATAACTTTATACTTGTGTCAACGTCACTGTATGCCATAAAGCTATATCTTCTTTCACAGTTTCAAGGAGTGTAAAGCTTTTCCTTTGTTTTTTTTTGAATGATTAGAGATAGTAAGCAAATCATTGCACAAGCATTGGTGCACTTTATGAAGTACTTTTTACTTTGCAGGATGAAGCTGATGGCTCCAATGAATATAACAATTACCAGCGAGGCTCCCTTAACACCACCAAGCAGCTTATTCAAGACTTGAAAAACATTGATATTGTCTTCCACATTGGCGATATATGCTATGCAAATGGGTATCTTTCTATGGGACCAGTTTACTGCACAGGTTGAGCCAATTGCATCAACTGTTCCTTACATGGTTGCAAGGTTTGTCACAATTTTTTTTTCTGCTTGTATTATTCACCTTCTTCATCTTATATGGTGATTTTCGTTGTATTATTTCAGTGGTAACCATGAGCGTGACTGGCCAGGAACTGGATCCTTATATGGAAACTTGGATTCTGGAGGAGAATGTGGTGTGTTGGCTGAGACAATGTTCTATGTCCCTGCTGAGAACAGAGCTAATTTCTGGTATGGGAAATTTTTCAGAACAAACTTTAATATAATTAACCTCGAATGTGTTATGATTATTCTCACTTCTAATTTAGTTCAAACCTCTTTAATGGTAAACAAAGAACAAAAAAACTGTGGCTTCTTTGGTTTCTTCCTCAGTGGAATCTGTTATTCTGAGGTTTTTTCTTAGACATTTCAGTTATTTTTTCTTATCCTAGAAGAACATGCCATTAATGGATTCCTAGTTTCTGCTGCAATGCTTAGTGGATATGCTGATCCTCTGTATCCCTGCTTCCAGGTATTCCACTGATTATGGCATGTTCAGATTTTGCATAGCTGATACAGAACATGATTGGAGGGAGCCGGGAGGGAACAGAGCAATACAAATTTATTGAGCACTGCCTTGCTTCTGTTGATAGACAAAAGCAACCCTGGCTAATTTTCCTTGTGCATCGGGTGCTTGGTTGTTCTTCTTCCACCTTTTACGCTGACGAAGGATCATTCGAGGAACCTATGGGAAGGGAGAGCCTGCAAAAACTTTGGCATAAGTACAGGGTTGATATAACCATATACGGTCATGCTCACAATTATGAAAGGACATGTCCCATTTACCAGATATGCAAAAAAGTTCCACTTGTGACACTTGAGCATGTTATTTCCCTTTGCTTTATCTGCATTAATCTGAAAGTGAAGGCATTTCAATTTAAAAGTGCTAAGCCTGGCAGTCCAAGCCTGTAAGCAATAAGTGAGTGCACAACAGGCTCTCAACGTCAGTTTATTTCTAGTAAAAATTGTCAATTTACTCGATGTTTATGTATGTCAAGTATTGTCAAATGAACCTGCAACCTGGATTTATATACTCAACACCTCACTTACCATTGGACCTAATTTTGTTTTTCCTGTTTATTGCCATAGAATATTTGCACAAGCAAAGAGAAATCCCACTATAAGGGCACCTTAAATGGAACAATACATGTTGCGGGTGGAGGAGGAGCAAGCGTTGCAGATTTCACCACCAGTACTACTACTTGGAGTTACTTTATAGACCACGATTACGGATTTGTTGTTGGAGTACAAGAAAAGCAGGGATGGGAAGGTTTATGACTCTTTCAAGATATCTCGGGGCTGCAGAAACATCACGGTCTGCACCGTGGACAGCCGCCCAAGCATGACCCTAGCATCTTGACCTGCATTGATGAAGAAAATTCTTTGAGCATTGTTTGTGGATTTGTAGTTTTTTGTTGTAGAACGCTGGCCTTTTGCTGTGTGTTGTATAATCATATAATAGTCATTTAGTGCTCTGAATAAAACATCCTCCCTGACTCGTATTTCATTTTCTTTTTTCTTCTTTTTGAAAAAAAATGAAAAAGCAGTAACCATTAAATTACAAAAATCACAAGACTGAAAAATGTCAAGAGGCAGTTGCTCTGATTTACAAATTCATTTATATACGACCATGAAGACCGGTAAATACCTACAATTTCAGCAATTTATTTATAAAATAAAAACCTTATTTGTATCAAATAATCCAAATCCAATTAGTGGCCCGTGTCCATGTGCGGTACGCTTGGTGTTTTTTTTTCTTGGAGGGGGTGAGATGACAATTTCACCCAACTCGTCAAATGTTTGATGTCGCTAGATTAACTTACCGTCTGATCGTGAAAGTGTTCGCCTGGCCTTCATTTGATTCCAGTCTATATTTCTTCATGTTTTATAGTTAGCATTTTTCTTTTTTTGCTCGAAGTACTGTCTGGATTCCTAATTAGGCCATATTATTGGTAGCATTTGTTGGTGATAGATGATATAATAAAAGGACCTGCTGTTTCAGCGCATGATATGACCTGCCCATAACATTTTCTGCGACGGGGCATTGAACATTCCAGGCCACGTTCTTTTTGTTTGTCAGTAGATGGATAACAAGAAGATACCAATCAACAATTTACGTGTGTATTTTTTTTCCTGGGTGATAAAAAATTAAGTGGCTTGGAATTCTAGAAGTCGAACCATATGGCGCCAAAGAGTGCTTTTCAAGGCTTTTTCATGGCGCAAAATCTTGTTTGCATTCTTCCCCAGCCAAAGCTGCAATATTGAACGAATCTTTCTTTGGCAAAATGCTTCTCTTTGTTTCCCTTTGTGTTGATGTCTTGATCTTGTATTTTTCAAACAAGTATGTTCAGTTTCTTCTTCCATTAGGTTTTTGCTCTCTCATAAACCCTGCCTACTTGTTATTTAGTGGCTTTAATTTTAGATCCTAACTTGATTGTCGTTCTTGGAGTCTATTGTTGATTGATTTCTTTGTTAAGAGAAAGGCTGGTTATGGATTTATGGGTAGTAGCCGTAGCTGCTGGTGCAGGATATGCAGTAAAAGCTAATTACTTCAAGAATTCTTCAGCAAGGTTAAGAGAACGCTCATTTGAATCCTTTTCTTTGGATTATTTTCACAGCCAATCCCAGTCCTGGAATTTACTGCAACGAATACGGGAGCAAACTTGCCCCTTTTGCAGATTAGGCGTCTGCAAGCATTCAGCAACAGATGAATCATTAGGTAGAGATTTTATAGGGGTTGCAAGTAGTAGTGCTACTAAAGGCGAAATACAGTTACAGAGTCATCGGCCTTATGGAAGGGGTTACTTTTTTTATTTATCTAGTGAATTGTTGCCTGATTCTATCGAACGAGAAGTGAGTTCGTTTCGAAGGTTAACAGCGGACAGGCAACTTGGGAATGGGTCTAGAGGGTACATCAATAACCTTGATTCTTCAGATAGTATCCTCACTCCTGAATTGTATGGAGGAGACATTGGATTTGAAGAAAATGAATATGCTTCACTACCATCTTCATCTATAGAAATGGCACAGCTATCGCCGATTGGAAGCTGGATAATGAGAGGTAGCCATGATTTTGGACAAGAGATGCCGTCAGAGAAAGAAAAGGGATCGTTGATGCTTACTAGAAAACAGATGCAGTATTTTGACATGGGACAGTATAGGCGATTGAGCAGGTCAGGTAGAAGGGTAACTGGTGGATTGTTTTATTCACAAGGTTGTGTTCTTTTCCACATGTTCTCAATGAGGTTGCTTTACATTTTCATTTCTGACGTTTTTGGTTCCATTGAATTTGGTTTCTTAGTCCAAATGCTGATTATATGGCTGCATGTCTTCCTTTGAAGTAAACTTTTCCTTCTGTTTGAGCTTCGGGCTTTCCTTTCTGCAGGGTCTTATGATAGAATGCTTCTTTTCTTCCTGGGGATAACTGTTGGAATAGTGTCGCATGTTGCCGCAAATAAAAGAGAAGTGGACTACTTAAATGAATTGTTGAAGCAGAATGAGAACTTGGTCCAGGATTTAAACGAGGAACTTAAAATTAAAGACCAGTTAACAGTGAAGGAACTTGTTAGTGAGGGTTCAAGCTTCCAGGGAAAAACTGAAAAGCCAAGCAACAGCGCATCAAGTGAAGTTTCCACGAAAAAGGAATCGGGTAAGTCTATAAAATTTTACGGCAGAGAGCCAGACGATGAGAAGGCAGCGAACTCCGAGGCAATGAGTAAAATTGAGGCAGAGCTTGAAGCTGAACTAGAGAGGTTGGAGCTTAACATGAAATCATCTAGTTTAGAGAGAATGCTCGATTTAATTGAGGTAATTTTGTTAGACTCGATGGATCTAGTTTAAGTGAGTGATAAGAAGTCAAGACCTAGCTATACCTTGTCTGTTATGATTCAGTACTTGGTTTAAACAAAGTTCCAGTTTCTGTTGCATATCTAGTCTATTTAAACATGTTTCTTATTGCATTTACACTTCGTTTTGCGCTGTTGTCTGCAGATGGATCCCAACTTTGAGCTTGATGTTAAGGGAGATCTAAGCCCAGACGAGGGTCATAAGAAACCTGACGATTTATCCGATTCAGACGATGACGCAAGTGGGAGTTCTACTAATCCCATTGATACAGCGAACTATGCCGTATCACATAAGGAGCTCAGCTTGCGTCTTCATGAGGTAATTCAATCAAGGCTGGTAGTCCGGATCATGGAACTCGAGGCTGCACTTGAAAATAGCCAGAAGAGGTTACATGCCTTGGAGTCGGATAGCACAAGCCCTAAGATGGACTTGCATGGTGAAGTAGAATCATCATCTATACAGCAATCCCCGAGCTTCACTGGTGAAGGCAATGGCGTACACTACCAATTCGCTACATCAGGGAAAGCTGATAGACTGAACACGAGAACAACAGTGTTCTCTTGAATTCTCAATAAATGCTGTCCTTGATGATCGATCCAACAGGGATAATTGAGTACCACTATAATACTAGCGAAGAAAAATGTACAATTTTATCCTAAAACATGCACTATCCTCTCCTCAAATTGTCCGGATCCAATATGAGGAAAATAGTTTAGTCACGGAAATTCCAAAGCCACCCATAGCTTATTACCCTATAAATTCACCCAGAAAATGTCCTTCCAATAGTAGGAGGTGGTTGCTTTGTTTACCAGGAAAGAAGAGCCTATGGTGTTACAATAGAAAAGGCCTACGCTGCTAGTTTTTTTCAAGCATTATAGTTCAAAGGAGAATAGCTGTACTGTTGAAATGGACAATTTTATCCAGAGCTTCTTGTCACATAATAGCCTGCATTCGACGCAGGGTACATGAGCTATGCCTGAACTTTAACAAGCAAACAGGCCTCGAACCCTTGATACACTATCCCAATTACAATTAGCAGAGATGATCCTCGGATCAAACGTATAACAAAGCCGCTTGCAGACCAGGCACAGTGTGCTTTCCCTAGGCCAGATATTTGCCTTATAAGAAATGTGATGCCAAACCGCCAGAAGACTGGATCCTCGTATCACATTGATGAGGACCTCCAAAATTATGGACTTGAGCAAGCATTTACACACCTCAATAGAGAACCTCATGCAATGCATGTATGCTTACCATCATAGAACAAGCCCCTGTCATCTTGGAAGAGCATAAATTGACCCAGAGAGTGAGAAGAAAATCAAATTGAATCATGGGTTTCTATGAAAGAAATCAAGTGTTTGTCTCCATTGGAGCAGCCTGTGCTATAAACTGAAGTTTATAATGGGAAGACCTTCTTGTATCTAAAATAAAACAAGAAACAAAAATACAAGAATACACATGCAAGACCAGTTATAATCAGAACCCAATTAAATGCATACGGGTAATCAAAAATTGAGGCTACAAAGTTCATCCCAAATATTCCTGTCACAACAGCAAATATTGTAGTCACAAAGGTAGCAGCAGTAAGAAGCAACTCGAATTGAATCAGTTGGTTCTGGACATTGCCCTGTATATATATGAGACAAAATTTATATCTCATGTTTTTTTCATCATCAAAAACGGAAATGAAAAGCACAGAAAGAAATTAGAAGTCATCATTACCCCTTACCAGTTTAATGTTGATCAGATCTTCTGTGTCATCTATGTATTCTTTGAGCTGCAATGTTTATAGAACAATTAATATAATCATGCAGTAAATATTATTGCACATCACTACGCACCTACTTTGAAATACAAGCATCCTTTTAATGTTAAGACACCATAGTTTCCATTTTAGAACCTATAAAATTTCCAAGTAACCTGGGCTGGTTGTGTGTTTCAGCTTGCTGCCAAGAGGGGCATCCTGATTTAATTGGTGGATTGTCAAAATCAAAATATTGGTTGATTTTAGTCATGCATGCCTTATACCTTAGGTCAGTTGTAGGATATCAATTAGCAAGCACTATCCAATCACAGCAACTCATATACAAAAATCTAGATAAGTTCAAAAACATGTTATGCAGGAACACACCGAGAACAACTTGCTAAGAGTGTTGTCGATAGCAGCAAAGTATGCTTCAAGTAACATTTCAAGTTGGTCAATATTCTCGCCATTACTGGATGAACTCATCAAGCTTCCATGTTTACTTGGACTTATATTGCTAAATGCTCTCTGCAATTTCTGGGCTCCACTAATTGACCTTACTGGCGAAACAGGGGCAGATTTTGAAACCACTCTGCCCTCACTTGGAATATCATTTTGAAAATACATATCACCAAGAGCATAAGCTTCTGATCTCTCTCTTTTCTCTGTCAGATACATCTCAGCCATGTCACCATCATCATCCATGAGATGTTCTATCTCATCATGGACCTACAATTTCAATCTCAAAGCTAACATATGGAGGAAGAAACCGGAAGAAGACAATAGATAACCAAGAGAAAAGGGGAAAATAAGAGGATTAAATTTACCCTCTGAACTCGCTGAGTCAATGCAAGGAGGTGGCCCTTGAGTCTACGGACACGTTCCAGATTATGAGTATTAATAGATGTTGCTAGTTC